AACCGCTCTTCTTACCTCGCAACCCATCAATACATTCGCAATGACGATCAGAATAACCAACGATGATAGAAACAATCGATTGACAAGTCGCTTGCTATCCTGGATAACCCAAACGTCCAGCAGGCTACTACGATGGAAGTCCATTTCTTCCTGAAACAAGGCGATGTGGGTTCCATGGGCAAAATAGGCAGCGTCAATGGAAGACTCACTTTTGGTATTTCGTGAAGAGATCGGTCTTCGTCCGATAGCACCTCATCTGCGCCCAGTAAACGTATTTTTACTGCTGTTTTTCCCAGAAAATGGCCACTTACAGTAAAATTCATCTGCAATGCATAAAACTGCATCAAAAAAAGGATTCAAAAAATGCAAAAGACCGTAAAAAATAAGAATGTCGGAACTGCCTCTCAATCACCAGCTGCACTGCATTCGTCATACATCCGGGCATCATAGAACGAACAACCGAAAAAAAGCCGATACACAGGGGAAAAGTTCAGTGTACAGAGAAGTTTATTAGCACTTTACAGAGGTGGGCATTGCTCAAAGCAGTAATGGACTCCCCGAAATACGACGCAATGAAATTATCTTTCGTGTGACTAGAATAGCATTGAAAAACCTCTTTCCTTTCCCCTCAAAATGAGGGCGTAGGCTCTAAAAAATATGCGCTAAAACTGTTTCATTATTCCAAGGTCAAAATCATTTGTGTACGAAAAACCTGAAAAAGCAAAAGCAGATTTTCGCCACAAAGGTAAAAAAATCTGTCTGAAAAGGCAAAATATTTAGAAAAAAAAAACTTGAAATTTGAATATTCCGAATTTTTTCAATTTGAACATTTTAAAATTTGACTAGATTGACGCCAATTGAGCCAAGAGAAGGAACGATCTATTTTGGCAAGAAGTGGGCACTCAATAAGGGAGTTTAATTGGGGGGTTATACAAGTAAATTAGCAGTTGATTTTTCCACACGAAATTATTAACGGTCCTTTTTTTAGTACAATGGTAAAAAAACTGTGAACCTCATAGGTGTGCAAGCTACCATTCTGCTCCGAAAACTCATCCAATTTGAACTGTTTCCGCTTCTTCGAAGCTGAAGCGATGTCCTCGTCAACAGATCTGCAAAAGTTGAAAATAGTTAAATTTGAAATGTCCTAGAACCCATCCACTGGTGCCACTTCATAATGAAACTTTAGTTCATTCTTCAAAAAGTCGAAGTCCCTTTCGTAGCAGTCATTATTCGTGAGAGGTGTAATCGGAAGCAGCCCGAGTAATAGCATTTGCCAGCAATAATCACCTTCCGACAAAACTGTCAATGGCTCTCTTATCTGAGAACTGTTTAAAAAGCAAGCTGACTGCTAATTCTCACTCACTGCCAAATGTCCGTACCAATTTACTAACGAAAACGGGTTACCTCACTGGTGCAGTTTAAACCCTCGGAATTGAGCACGAATAGCTGTGCTACTTAAAAATGCGTCAAGGCAACTATTTGACAACCAAGTTTGTTCTTCTAGACCACTAAAAAATTCAGCACTACCACATTATTTTTAAAAACATCAGGCACGTGGGCAGGGAACATCCTCTTAAAATTTCAGTCTTCTAGCTCTTCTGGTTGCCGAGTTAGTAATTTTCCTGCAGAATCTTTCATATGCCCTTACGTGAGTACCA